GCGAGCGCGGCGCGGCCAGGCGGCGCAGGAGGAGCACAGGCCTCCGCACCGCCAGGCCGCCCAGGCGCAGGGGGAGCACGAGCCTCCGCGCGAACAGGCCCCGGCGGCGGAGGAACGCGAGCCTCCGCCCCCGCCAGGTGCAGGGCGCAGGCGGCCCACGGGCCTCCGCGCCGAGGCATTCGGCACGGCCGGCAGGAGGAGCACGGGCCTCCGCTGGCCATGCAAACGGGGAGCTCGCGCGTCAGGCCGAGCTCCTGCATGATCGAGTGGCCCTCCTCGCTGCGAAGGGCTCCGACCGCGTGGCCCATCTCCCCCATGACGTGCTCGAGGCTGGTTTCCCCACGCGCCAAGGCCTCCTTCGCCCGCTGGACGCGCACGGCCGACAAGTCCAGGCAGGTCCGCATCCTGTCGAGAGCAGCTCTGGCGCCACCAAGGCTGGAGGAAGAGCGCTCCAGCTCCGACTGCACAATGTGAGACTGCACGTGCTGCTCGAAGATCGCAGCCTCGCAGCTCTCCGAAACTGTCCCTGAGGAAGGAGGATACACCATGATGGGTTTGACGATGCCCTCGGACTCCACACCGTCAAGCGCATTGTGCACCATCGGCTCCCTATTCCCCTCGGCCATCATCGGGACGAGAGCGGTGTTGAGCGTTTTGCCGACGTCCACGGACGTGTACATCGGCTTCACGTCCTGCAGGGTGGTGTGCATGTTGTCGAAGGCCGCAGCCTTCAAGTTGCAGTCGGGCAGGTTCCCGAGGGCGCACGACTTGAGGCTGATGTCGAACGTCTCGCAAGCCTTCATGTGGTCCTTCAGCATGACCCTGAACTCGGTCAGCATCCCGAGGCCTTTCTCCACAGACACGCCACAAAGTGTCCCCACATCATTCTGGAACCACACAGGCTTCTACCTCCATCGAAGGTACGCTCGACTCCATGTCCTTCTTCTCCAAGGTCCCCACAGCATGCACCCCCCCCGGAGGACTCGGTCAATCCAGTCGACTCTGAGCCCGACCCTCTCTGCTCCTCCTCCCCCTGCTTGTCCAAGGGCGGCGGCGGCCGCCACGGCCCCGCTGTTTGGCCTCCCGTGCGGACTTCGATTTGCCCTCAGGCCTGCCTGGGTCCTTTGGATTTTCGGGCTCAGCAGTGCTGCAAGGACAGGGACTAATTTCTACAGCTGTAATCAGGTGGCCCGCGTTGAGGGAATATGCTGAGGAGGAGGAAGAGGAGGAGGAGGAGAAAGAGGAGGAGGAATAGGAGGAGGTGAGGAAGACGCACGTAGCGGGAGGTCACTGGACGCAGCACCGTTTGTTCGAGGTTCGTTCGGTTACGTCGTCGGAGTGTGTTGTATGCAACGCCGCCCCAGAGAACCCTGGCCGTCGATTCTTTTATTGAAACTTATCAATGTCGGTCCGAGACGGACTCGATCTTGATGAGGTCGCGCGTGCAGGCAGCCAACGTGAGGTCAATGGTCCACTGTTATTTCGATGTCTTGCCGACTCCTTGTTGCGGCTACAGTCTCGGCCGTCCCAGCTGGGGGTGATTCATGATGATGGGCCGCTTCAGGGGGGGCTCTCACATGTCTCATCGACATCGACGGCTCATGTTTCGACCCCGAGTTCGCCCATGCCAGCCGGGCAGGGTGGGCTTGTGTCGCTTTGGACGCGCATTGCGACGCAGCATGAGCTATTTTTGGCACTCTCCCGATTGCGTTGCAGGACATAGGCCTGGTCGAAGTCTGGGCATTGTACATGTGCCTGCAGCATTCCCTGTGAGTTCTAGTGCTAGTGACTGATTGCGAGGCCGTGGCCGATGGTTTTGTTTCGGACCCCGAGGCGACCTGCGACGTAACTCGCCCTTATTCCGAAATTAGTGTCCGTGTTTGGAATAGGTTTCAGGACATCGGCCGCGACAATATAAAACATACTTTGGGTTCCATCGCACACGTCTTGGCCCCATGCCCAGGCGAGAGGGGTGGAATGGCATCAGTTCAGGGCTTATAAGTTGGCGGACAAGTTTGCTAAGATATTGGCTCGAGGCCACCCAGTCAATCCTGAAGTTTCTGAGGAGAGGCCACTCTTGTGGTGGGCCGCTAAGCTTATTACTACTCGGGCCGTGTGTTGGCCCACCTGGCGGCCGCTGGCTTCCTGATGTTGATAGTCCTCGGTTTCGTCGCTCGTTCGACCTGCTCGTCCTGGTCTCGGATCCCAGGGGTCATCAGGTGATGCTTCAGAACGACCGCTGGGGTTGTCTGACTCGTGGGTGCAGCTACCTGACTCGGGCCCGCCCAGTCAAATCTAGGTGCCCTGGCGTCCCAGCGAAGCTTGCCCAGGCCCACAGGTCCCATCAGGCTCTGGTGGTCTAGAGGCCCCGACGGAAAAGTGTGGTGCAGCCTATATGGCGCGTGCGCGAGGAGACAGATCCCTGCGCTGGCTGAGCGCTGTGTTGGGCAAACCATAGGGGGGCGTTTCTTGGCCCTCAAGATTCTCAAGAGGGCCAAGGGCTCCACCTCCAAGCAACCCATCCCTCGGTCCAGCCCCGTGGCCCCCCCGCCTCATCTCCGCCGCGTCGGCCGGGTTCAGTCTTGGTCGAGAGAGGAGAGTTCCGCTGGCTGGATTCGAAGTAGCGGAGTGTCAGCGATCAGGGTGAATCCCTGCTCTTGCTCCGTTGGCGATTTTGTGGTGGATCGTGGATTGCGGTTGTTTCTCCTGGGGCCGCCGTCAGAGGAGTGGAAAGAGGAGGAGGAGGAGGAGGAGGAGGAGGCTCCTATCCTGGCCACTCCGGGATGCTCGGCTCGCGAGGAATCACGCCCACCTGGAGACGCCGCGCCGGGAACCCTACGTTTACGACGAGGACACTTCTTCCTTCTCCTCATCCTTCCTCAGCCTTCTCATCCTTCTCCTCATCCTTCTCCTCATCCTTCCTCATCCTTCCTCATCCTTCCTTCTCCTCATCCTTCTCCTCATCCTTTACCCTGTATCCTTCCTCATCCTTCTTCCTTCCTCCTCCTCTTCCCCCTCCTTCCATCCTCCATCATTCCCTCCCTCCTTCCCTCTCTTCCTATCTTCCTCTCTCCCTCTTTCCTTATCTCCCTCCCTCTCTCCCTCTTTCCCTCCTGCCTCCTCCGTCCTCTGTCCTCCCTTCCCTCCCTCCCTCCTTGCCCCCCTCTCTTGTCCTCCTCCTTCCTCGTCTTTAGCCCTGAGAGCTGAGAGAATGAAGGCCACCATGCTGCTTGTCAAGAGCTCCCTGCAGCTCCGGTACAAGATGCTGCCGCTGTGGTGACGGGAGGGCCTCTCATGCTGCACCCACCCATCCAGAGGGGGATCAGGAGTTGGAGGAGGAGGAGGTGGGGGAAGTGGGAGAATGTGGAATCTCATCATGACGATGCTGATGCTGCTGATTGTGATGGCGCCGATGCTGATGATGATGCTGATGCTGATGCTGATGATGATGATGATGATGATGATGATGATGATGATGATGCTGATGCTGATGATGATGCTGATGCCGATGATAATGCTGATGATGATGGTGATAGTGATGGTGATTGTGATGGTGATGGTGGTGATGATGATGGTGATCAAGATGATGGTGATGACGACAATGATGATGCCGATGACTACGATGATGATGATGATGATTATGATGATGACGACCATGATGATCATGGTGGTGGTGGTGGGATGATGACGATGTTGATGATGATGATGATGGTGGTGGTGGTGACGGCGATGATGCTGATGCTGCTGATGATGCTGCTGTTGATGATGATGGTGATGATACTTATGATGATGAGCATGTCTATAATTAGTATGGTTACTCGTAGTATTATCATTGTCTGTACTATTGCCCTTAGTATTGCCTTTATTCGTGTTGATACGAGGATGTTTTTCGTAGTTGTAGTAGTGCTAGTAGTGGTCTGATGTTAGTTCTAGTTTTAGTATGTCCTCTATTTGTTGTTATTGCTTTTCTGAATCATATTGGTATCATTATGATTAGTCATATTATGCTGATTATGATTAGTGTGTTGTTTAGTTTTATTCGTATCTCATGTGTTGTGATCATCATCGTTACTCGTATGAAAAATACCATGTATTACTATCGTTACCCGTATGCTGGCGAGGATTATGAGGAGGAGGAGGAGGAGGAAGAGACGAGAAGGGCTGGAGGAAGAGGAGCAAGGGTCTAGTGCGAGTGTCTGGTTGTAGCGATGATCTGTTGCATATATGCCCGCAGGGAAGGGCGAGGGGTAGGAGCGAAGGGGAGGACGGAGTGGGGATGGGGGGACGGAGAGAAATGCAGAGTTCGCTAAGTCTCAGGAGGTCCAACATAGGTGATCGCAGACATTGTCTTGTTTTGTTTCCCCCATGATTGATGAAGTCGAAGTCTCCCAGGTACACGCTGTTCCAAGAGTACGCCACCCTGGGGAAGCCCGTCGTGCGGCCGCTCTTCTGGGACTTCCTGCCAGATGTTACGACGCACAGCGACGAGGACTCAGGGCGCGGAGGCGGAGGAGGAGGAACAAGGAGAAGGAGGATCAGCAGCAGGGGGGAGGGAGGAAGGATGAGGAGGAGGAGTATGAGGAGGAGGAGGAGGAGGAGCAGGAGCAGGAAAAATGAGGAAGAAGAGAAGACTGAGGGAACGGGGACGACGGAGGAGGGACGGAGGAGGGCCATGAGGAGGGAGAGAAGGAGGAGGAGGAGGAGGAGCAGGAGGAAGAAGAGCAGGGATGATAGGGACCATTGGTTATGCTGATGCTGATGATGCTATTGGTGATGGTGGTGATGATGATGCTGCTGCTGATGATGCTGATTCTGATGATGCTGATGCTGATGCTGATGCTGATGCTGATGACGATTTCTTCTTCTCCTTCTGCTCCTCCTCGTTTCCTCTTCTTCCTGAATTGTCTGGTCTGCGGATGACCGCGACCGCTTAGCTCGCAATCCAGCTTCGCGTAATGGTTCCTCTGGCGGGTGGCCGGCGCAGGGGGGGAGAGGAAATTCGTTACCTTTCCGCCAGGCGGCTTTACGCCCAGCAGGTTCCCCTATAGCCCAGTTGCGCGTCATGGCTTGCCTATTGCAGGTTGGCCTGTACGCTGCTCCTGGTGCTTTGGGTTTCGCATGGCGCCAACATCGCAGAGCGGATTCCGTTCGGAAGACGATAGGATGGGCCTGGAGTGTCCTGGAGAATGTTGTTCCAGATTTCGACGTGAATTTCGTGCGCATTGGCCAGGAATGAAGACTAGAACAATATCCACGCGAAATCCATTTCGTTTTTCACTCGCCGTTTCAGGGTTTTGCATTGACAGAAATCCACGCACAAATCCGCTGCAGCACGTCTGCAAGGTCGGTGCAGTGAGGTTTCTCATCCGCCTCTCCTCTGTCCTCTTCCTTTTCCTCGGCCGCTCGCCCGGGCAATGATTGTCACGGACGGCTCCTTGAGTAAGCCCCTGTCTGCTGAGGGGGGGCAGGATTTGTCCGCCCCGGCTGCTTCCGGTATAGTGTCGTGGCGGGTTCTTTGGAGCTTCGTGGTTGCTCTCCACCACTCCCTCCAGATGATGATGATGATGATGATGATGATGATGATGATGATGATGATGATGATGATGATGATGATGATGATGATGATGATGATGATGATGATGATGATGATGATGATGATGATGATGATGATGCTGATGCTGATGCTGATGCTGATGCTGATGCTGATGCTGATGCTGATGCTGATGCTGATGCTGATGCTGATGCTGATGATGCTGATGATGACGATGATGATGATGACGACGATTATGATGCGGCTGATGCTGATGATGCTGATGATGCTGATGATGCTGATGATGATGCTGCTGCTGATGATGATGATGCTGATACTGATGATGCTGTTGATGATGATGCTGATGGTGATACTGCTGCTGATGATGATGCTGCTGATGATGATGATGATGATGAGCATAGTGAAGCCCATGAAAGTGAGTAGCAGGCGCCCGCTGATGATGGTGGAACAGATTGGAGCAAGCGGGAGGTTTCGCTCGGCTCCCCACGAAAACACCAAGCACGTCAGTGTCAGTCGGGGGGAGCGCCATCCTCGACGGAGCTCGACGTTCCAAGAGGAGGGATGGCGTGCAGAGGAGGGGGCCCCGCCGAGGACGCCGTGGAGAATGAGATCATGCTGGGCGACTCGCTGCTGGTCAGGGGCATCTGCAAGCCTATGGAGGGCGAGCAGGCCACGGCGAGGATGAGGACGAGGAGGACGAGGAGGTGGGGGGGGAGGAGGACAAGGAGGTGGACAAGGAGGTGGGGGGGACAATGAGGATGAGGACGAGGAGGACAAGGAGGACGAGGACGAGGAGGATAAGGAGGTGGACAAGGAGGACGAGGACGAGGAGGACAAGGAGGTGGGGGGGAGGAGGAGGAAGGGGGTGGCGGGGGTGGTGGAGGATTGGGAGCTGGAGGAAGGTGATGGCGATGGATGTGTGAGCGGAGGATGGTGTTGATAGTGCTTGCTGAAGATGGCGAGCATGATCACGATGATAGTGCTGATGATGGTAGTTGTGGTGGTGGTGGTGATGATTCTAATGATGATTATGAGGCTGCTGCTGCTGATGATGATGCTGCTGATGATGATGCTGATAGTGATGATGATGCTGCTGAGGATGATGTTCTTGATGATGAATATGGAGATGATGATGCTGCTGCTGATGATGATGATGATGATGATGAATGATGGTGATAATGATGTGATGATGGTGCTGCTGATGATGATGATGACGATGGTGATGGTGATGCTGATGATGATCATGCTGATGCTGATGCTGATGCGGATGATGATGATGATGATGATGATGATGATGATGATGATGATGATGATGATGATGATGATGATGATGATGATGATGATGATGATGATGATGATGATGATGATGATGATGATGATGATGATGATGATGATGATGATGATGTGATGGTGGTGGTGGTGGTGATGATGATGATGTTGATGATGATGATGGTGCTGATGATGCTGACGATGATGATGCTGATGAGGAGGATGAGGAGGAACATGAGGCGTAGGAGGAGGAGTAGGAGTAGGAGGAGGCGGAGCATGGTGATGTGGACGTTGATGGTTTAGCTGCTGTTGATGCCATTAATGGTAATATTGACGAGGAGAATGATGACGATGATGGTGATCGGATGTAAGGTCAAGGTGGAAAAAGGGCCCCCCCAAGGGGAAATCGGCTTCGGTTTCGGGTTCGTGTCGTGAGTGCGGGCGAGGCGAAGCTGCGTGGGTGGGTGAGAGGACTGACTGACCCCGCTGTGGCTAGGACGGGTCAAGAGCCGTTGACCGCCCCTCCTCCCTCCCTGGTGGGCGGGCGGTGGCCGCGTTGTCCCGCCGTGGTGTCCCGTCGCTGCGCGCCTCTCCCCTGCGGTGGGCGGGCGGTGACCAGGTTGTCCCGCCGTGATGTCCCGTCGGTGTCCTGTTCGTGTTTCGTGGCTGTCCCGTTGCTG